TCCCCCCACCCCCCGGGGCCCCTCCCCCACCCGCGTAGTCGTGCCCGGGGTAGACGCGGCAGCTCTCGGGGAGGGTGAAGATTCGCTCGTGCACCGAGCGGTGCAGGGTGCGTGCGCAGCCTGGGGGAGGGGCCAATGACGTCATCGGACACGCCCCCTCCCCACACACCGGCCACGCCCACGGAACGCCCAGGTCCTTCCCAGTGAGCCCCCGACACCCCCGTAAAGCCATCCCGGTTCATTCCCGGTTCATCCCCGGTTCATCCCAGTTCATCCCAGTGAGCCCCAGTTCATTCCCAGTTCATTCCCAGTTCATCCTGGTTCATTCCCGGTTCATCCCAGTTCATTCCCAGTTCATCCCAGTTCACCCCAGTTCATCCCAGTTCATTCCCAGTGAGCCCCAGTTCATTCCCAGTGAGCCCCAGTTCATCCCAGTTCATCCCGGTTCATTCCCGGTTCATTCCCAGTTCATCCCAGTTCATCCCATTTCATCCCCGTTCATTCCCAGTTCATTCCCAGTTCATTCCCAGTTCATTCCCAGTTCATTCCCAGTTCATCCCAGTTCACCCCAGTTCATTCCCAATGAGCTCAAACCCCCTCTAAACCCATCCCAATTCATTCCCAGTTCATTCCCAGTCCATCCCAATCCCTCCCACTTCCCTCCCAGTCCATCTCAGTCCCTCCCAGTCCATCCCAGTCCATCCCAGTCCCTCCCAGTCCATTCCCAGTTCATCCCAGTCCATTCCCAGTCCATTCCCCATCCATCCCAGTCCCTCCCAGTCCCTCCCAGTCCATTCCCAGTTCATCCCAGTCCATCCCAGTCCCTCCCAGTCCCTCCCAGTTCCCTCCCAATCCATCCCAGTCCATCCCAGTCCCTCCCAGTCCCTCCCAGTTCCCTCCCAATCCATCCCAGTCCATCCCAGTCCCTCCCAGTCCCTCCCAGTTCCCTCCCAGTCCATCCCAGTCCATTCCCAGTCCCTCCCAGTCCCTCCCAGTGCTCCCAGTTACCCTGCTGGAAGTCGGTGCGGCCGCAGCCCCGGATCAGCAGCGCGTCCCCGGTGAAGGCCATGCTGGAATCATCCAGAACAAACGTGACACAGCCGGGGGTGTGCCCGGGGGTGGGGACCACGCGCAGCGCCTGGGGACCCCAAAAAACCGTCAGGGGACCCCAAAAACCAAACTGGGACCTCAAAAACCAAACTGGGACCCCCAAAAATCAAACTGGGACCTCAAAAACCAAACTGGGACCTCAAAAATCAAACTGGGACCCCCAAAAATCAAACTGGGAACCCGAAAAATCAAACTGGGACCCCCAAAAATCAAACTGGGACCCTGAAAATCAAACTGGGACCTCAAAAATCAAACTGGGAACCCGAAAATCAAACTGGGACCCCCAAAAATCAAACTGGGAACCCGAAAAATCAAACTGGGACCCCCAAAAATCAAACTGGGACCCCCAAAAATCAAACTGGGACCTCAAAAATCAAACTGGGACCCCAAAAACCAAACTGGGACCCCCAAAACCTCCCTAAAACCCAAAAAAATCCCACCTGGGACACCCTAAACCCCCCTCCCCCACCCCAAAATCTCCCCCTCCCCCATCCCATACCCCCCTCCCTCAGCTT